CCCTTTTAACTTCCAAATATTCATCTTTAAAATTGTGAGCAAACAGAAAAGGAATTGCTAGATTCTTGTAAACACAGTCACTCAATGGGATGCCTGCCATTTTGAAACTTCACAGCAGGAAGTTTAGGTTGGTCAGAGGGTCATTAAAGAAATGCCTCAGCTAATATATATAACTACATAGACTTTTTTTCATAAAACTATATACCAAGTTCAGGCTTGGCACTGCGGCTCATGCCTGTAATCCCAGCACTGTGGGAGGTGGCGGGCAGATGACTTGAGGTCAGGAGTTCGAGACCTGCCTAGCCAACATGATGAACCCTCTTCTCTACTTAAAATACAAAAACTATCTGGCCATGGTGGCAGACACCTGTAATCCAGCTACTTGGGAGTCTGAGGCAGGAGAATCACTTGAACCCGGGAGAAGGGGTCGCAGTGAGCCAGGATCACACCATTGCACTCCAGCCTGGGCAACAGAACGTCTCAAAACAAACAAAAAGTTATACCAAGTTCACAAAATATGGCATTTCAAAATGGCAGACTACTAATTTTGTTAATTTGCAACAATATATTGGTAACAAATATTTTACAAAAAATTAATTTTAAATCTAGTTCTCTGTTTTGTAAAAACAGGGTCTCACTATGTTGCCCAGGTTGGTCTCTAACTCCTATTCTCAAGCATCCTCCTCCCTCATCTTCCCAAAGAGGTAGGATACAGGCCTGAGCCACTTGCCCAGGACAAAAAATTACAGTCTCAAAATATGACAGCACTCGATTAGAATTATTGTGGACAGCCGGGCGCGATGGCTCAAGCCTGTAATCCCAGCACTTTGGGAGGCCAAGGCGGGTGGATCACGAGGTCAAGAGACCGAGACCACCCTGGTCAACATGGTGAAACCCCGTCTCTCCTAAAAATACAAAAAATTAGCTGGGCATGGTGGCATGTGCCTGTAATCCCAGCTACTCAGGAGGCTGAGGCAGAAGAATTGCCTGAACCCAGGAGGCGGAGGTTGCGGTGAGCCGAGATCACACCATTGCACTCCAGCCTGGGTAACAAGAGCGAAACTGTCTCAAAAATAAAAAATAAAGAAGTATGTTTTGAAAAGATAACAAACATTTGTTTTTACAATTTTTTTTTTTTTAAGATGGGGTTTCACCATGTTGGTCAGGTTGGTCTTGAACTCCCACCTAAGGTGATCCGCCCACCTTGGCCTCCAAAGTGCTTGGATTACAGGCTCCAGTCACCACGCCCGGCCTTACAGGTTTTTTTTTTAATGACTTGACTCCAAATAAGGATGTCATATTAGGCCGGGCATTGTGGCTCACCCCTGTAATCCAAGCACTTTGGAGGCCAAGGCGGGCGGATCACCTGAGGTCGGGAGTTCAAGACCAGCTTGACCAACATGGTGAAACCCCTCTTAAAAAAGAAAAAAAAAATTAAAAATTAAAAAAAAAAGGATGTCATATTACTTAGCCTGACAGCATCCATGTTAAAGAGACCAGGCTGTAAACCCCCAGGAGAAATTCAGAAACTAGAAAAAAAAGAAAATGAAACCAGGGTGGTAAGCTGGGAACCAAGAAGAATGTACTTCAATTCCTTTTCACCGTAATGCCATAAAACCCTACCTTAAAACTTCTAAGATTACAATCTTAGGTAAGAAAAGGAAATACTTTCAGTTACAAATAGGTATGTCTTTGTGCCTTGATTCTAGTCTTTTTTTTTTTTTTGAAACGGGAGTCTCCCTCTGTCACCAGGCTGGAGTGCAGTAGCGCAATCTTGGCTCACTGCAACCTCCATCTCCCCGGTTCAAGCGATTCTCCTGCCTCAGCCTCCAGAGTAGCTGGGACTACAGGAACAGGAGTATAGCCACCATGCCCAGCTAATTTTTGTATTTTTAGCAGAGGGGGATCTCACCCTGTTGGCTAGGATGGTCTTGACCTCTTGATCCTTCCCCACCCCCACCCCTCCCAAAATGCTGGGATTATAGGCGTGAGCCACAGCTCCCGGTTTTCTTTTTTTTTTTCCCCAAGAAAGGGTTTCACCATGTTGGTCAGGCTAGTCTTGAACTCCTGACCTCAGGTGATAAGCCTGCCTCGGCCTCCCAAAGTGCTGGGATTATAGGCGTGAGCCACAGCTCCCGGTTTTCTTTTTTTTTTTTCCCCCAAGAAAGGGTTTCACCATGTTGGTCAGGCTAGTCCTGAACTCCTGACCTCAGGTGATAAGCCTGCCTCGACCTCCCAAAGTGCTGAGATTATAGGTGTGAGCCATCACGTCCAGCCTTTTTTTTTTTGGCGGGGGGGGGGGGGGGGGGGGGGGACGGAGTCTCACTCTTACACCCAGACTGGAGTACAGTGGTGCAATCTCAGCTGGCCACAACCTCCACCTCTGGGGTTGAAGCAATTCTCCTGCCTCAACCTCCTGGTGCCTGCCACCACACCCAGGTAATTTTTGTATTTTTTTTTTCCTTTTTTCTTTTTTTGAGACAGAGTTTTGCTCGTTACCCAGGCTGGAGTGCAATGGCACGATCTCAGCTCACTGCAACCTCTGTCTCCTGGGTTCAAGCAATTCTCCTGCCTCAGCCTCCCGAGTAACTGGGACTACAGGCATGCGCCACCATGCCCAGCTAATTTTTGTATTTTTAGTGGAGACGGGGTTTCACCATGTTGACCAGGATGGTCTTGATCTTTTTTTTTTTTTTTTTTTTTTTTTTGTTAGACAGAATTTCACTGTTGTTACCCAGACTGGAGTGCAACGGCACGATCTTGGCTCACCGCAACCTCCACCTTCTGGGTTCAAACAATTCTCCTGCCTCAGCCTCCCTAGTAGCTGGGACTACAGGTGTGCACCACCATGCCCAGCTAATTTTTGTATTTTTAGTAGAGACAGGGTTTCACCTCGTTGACCAAGATGGTCTCGATCTCTTGACCTCGTGATCCACCCGTCTTGGCCTCCCAAAGTGCTGGGATTATAGGCGTGAGCCACTGCGCCCGGCCAGTTTTTGTATTTTTAGTAGAGATGAAGTTTCACCATGTTGGCCAGGCTGGTCTCGACCTCCTGACCTCAGGTGATCCACCCACCTCATCCTCCCAAAGTGCTGGGATTACAGGCATGAGCCACAGCACCCAATCAATTCTAGACTTATTTCCACTAAGACTCAGAAGACCCATATTTGTTGAAAAGGGACCAACTCTCCAAACAAGTTTTATCAACATGTCATCATTTCAGTCAAAGCACAGCTAGCCACCTAAAACCATGTATCATCAATGTGTTTTCTCCTTAGACAAGGTAACAATTCGCAGTGTCCTAAAACGTAATTATTTAAACTGTTACAACCTACCTTCTTAATAGCTAAAATCCTCTGTTGGGTAGGAATACAAACCTGGACCACAGACCACTTAACTATTAAATCCAAGTACCTCTAGAAAAATAAAATTTGAGGCCGGGCGCGGTGGCTCACGCCTATAATCCCAGCACTTTGGGAGGCCAAGACGGGTGGATCACGAGGTCAAGAGATCAAGACTATCCTGGTCAACAAGGTGAAACCCTGTCTCTACTAAAAATACAAAAATTAGCTGGGCATGGTGGTGCACGCCTGTAGTCCCAGCTACTCGAGAGGCTGCGGCAGGAGAATTGCTCGAACCCAGAAGGTGGAGGTTGCGGTGAGCCAAGATCGTGCCATTGCACTCCAGTCTGGGTAACAACAGCGAAACTCCGTCTCGAAAAAAAGAAAAAGAAAATTTGTTCTTAATCTGTTTGATCTTCTTCCTAATATTTTACTTGCCCTCCCTCAGTTTCTTAATCCATGTATTCCCTATTCCTATCAAAGGGACTGTCATAAGGAAAACGCTCAGCATTTTTTTCAAAAAGTTTACTTGTATTTACTCAATTATACACTTAAAAAAAAAATCCAAGTAGTCACAGGCGATCAAATTGTCGAGGAACAGGCAGGGAGATTAACTATTGTTACTCAGTTTTCAGGAAGAAAACTGCCTTTAATTTATTACAGTCCTAAGAAACGTGACATTTAACTTTAGGGGAAAAGTTTGTCATAAAGTTTATTTTAAATATAACATTTTCAAATGCACAGATATCAAGCATTCTTTTTTCATCTACAAAGTTTACTCCTTGCGGAGTTAGTATCTGTGAGCCCTGTTGGGTGAATTCTGCAGAGGGTGGTACTGAAAAAAGTATTATTTGTCTTTGGCCTTAAGTACCTCTACAAGACCTGCAGAGGATCTCTCGTCAGCCTTCAGGCCTATGAGTGCTCAGCTCACTAGCGGGACACTTGTCTTGGGTGAACAGGACCGCCACTATTGCAGACACCGGACCGAGCAGGTGGGGGCCGACTTCAAAGAAAGTGTGAGCGCCCGGGCGCGCTAGTGGAACAAAACCTGTGGCAAGTAATAAGGAAGTGCTCGCTCCCGCCCGCCCTTCCCATCCGGGGACACCCGAAACATGGGGGGCTTTGACAATGTGCAGGGGGCGTAAGAGGGGGAAGAGTGGCAGCTCCGAGCACACTGAGAAAAACTGGAAACGTGCAAAAACTCCAAACACCGTTCCCCCCATCCGAAGCGCTAGGCCTCGGGAGCCGATGCCCACTGCACCCATCCGGGTGCAGAGTGAGAAAGAGTAGTTGAGGAGGTCGTGGGGGGGTTTCAGGAGGATGCAACCCGCGCGAAGCCAGGCCCAGCGACACCAACTGCCGCCACTGCCGCCCCCTGAGCCTCCAGGCCCGGGACAGAGGCCACCCCGGGTCTCATCCCGCGCTCTACCCTCCGCTTCCTAGAGCCTTCTCGCTGGCCTCATCTTCAGAGCGCGAAGCCTCCGAGAGCCGTCTCCCGCCTCGCCCCACTTGCCCGTCCCGGCTGCCTCTCACTCCCCGGAGCTCCGGGAAACGCTTCCAGTGGCCCCAGGTGCACCCCTGTTCCTCCTCCCACTGGCACTGGCGTCCCCAAGCTAACACCGCCACCGTACCCCAGGCCCTGACGCCAGCCCGCCTCACCTCAGACGGCTCCAGCAGCGCTGAACACAGGAAACTCCTGGGTCCCCGACTCCAGCTCTCCTCAACCCCCTCTTCGGTTAACTCCGCTTGTTTCTCGACAAAATGGCGCCGGAGGTCGCGCGCTCACGTCGCGGCCTTTCCCCTCCCCGTTCCCATTTCATCATTCGCTGCCCGCCCGAGGAGGGATGGTCCCAGCGCCAGCCAATGGCCGCGCCCCGCCTGTGGCTCCCGCCCAATCACCGACAGCTACCCGCGGATTTAAACCAATCACACTCTATCACTTGCAGAAGTCGAGGAAGAAACCAGGCTTTTGCTAGCAACTACCAATCCAGACTTCTACTTCGTGGACTGTAGCCAATTGCCGCTCACCAGGCCCAGGGGACCTGAGTCGGAGCCCTCGCGCCTGCGCTCGAGGCGAGGGCCAATAGAGAGACGCTGATAACTTCGATTTGGGGCTTCATGGACTTCCTACCTGCCCTGGAGGGCTGCGACCAGTGGCGCTTGGCATTGCCTTTGAGGAACAATAAATTATGGAAAGGACCCATAGCTCCTCGCCACTTTGTGCAGGAACTACTTTGAGTTACAGTGAAACAGCCTTCCTCCACTTTCCTTTCTCTTTCGAAATGTCACAGTCCAGTAGACTTCGGGGAGTACCAACCGAAACATTCCGCCCCCCTAGTGTCCCTTTGGCGGGGAACACCAGCCAGAAAGCAAGTCAGATAGTGACTAGAGTTGGGGCGCCTTGCATCCTGGGATGTGTAGTCGCGCTTCCCTACCCTGTTCTCATCGGAGAAGTACCGCGTCTTCTTCCGTCACTGGCTGCGCCCTAGAAGGAGCAGTACATGCTGGGGGATGTAGTCACACAGGTGGCCACCTGGTCCTCGCTTGCTTCGCTTTCGTCAAGGGAATTTTCTCTTTTAATTCTGCCTATTGAAGGAAACACAAGTGTTCTTCCTGGCTTAAGTCCTAGGAGCCGTCTAAGAAAGGATACCCATGTCCTTTGCTCTCAAGTGGAAAAGCATAGAGACATATTTTGCTATGGTTTGTTTGTTAACTATGATAATTGGTAAGATTTTATGCTCACCTGTACCCAAAAGAGAAAGGACTGGAAGGAAGTGTTGACTGGTTAACTCTATTACCTTTTGAAATTAAAACCTATCCCCTGCTCACCCCTGCTCTCAGGCTAGGCTTAGCAGGTGATCGCCTGGCCATCTGTCTCATATTACCTCTTGTGCCAAAAAAAATACTGAAAAAAAAAAAATATATACTGAAAAAAAAAAAAAAAAATGATGGTAAAAAACATGAAATTTGCCGGGCGCAGTGACTCACGCCTGTAATCCCAGCACTTTGGGAGGCCGAGGCGGGTGGTTCACAAGGTCAAGAGATCGAGACCATCCTGGTCAACATGGTGAAACCCCGTCTCTACTAAAAATACAAAAAATTAGCTGGGCATGATGGTGCCTGCCTGTAATTCCAGCTACTCAGGAGGCTGAGGCAGGAGAATTCCCTGAACCCAGGAGGCGGAGGTTGCAGTGAGCCGAGATTGCACCATTGCACTCCATCCAGCCTGGGTAACAAGAGCGAAACTCCGTCTCAAAAAAAAAAACATGAAATTTAGCATCTGAACCTTTTTTTTTTTTTTTGAGACTAAATCTCGCTCTGTCACCCAGGCTGCAGTGCAGTGGCACGATCTCTGCAACCTCTACCTCCCGGGTTCAAGCAATTCTTCTACCTCATACTCCGGAGTAGCTGGGACTACAGGCGAGCGCCACTATGCCTGGCTAATTTTTCAGTTTTTAGTAGAGACGGGATTTCACCATAATGGCCAGGTCTCGAACTCTTGACCTTGAAATCCACCCACCTCGGCCTCCCAAAATGCTGAGATTACAGGTGTGAGCCACTGTGCCCAGTCCAATCATTTTTAAGTGTAGAGTACGGTAGTGTTAACATATACATACATTGTTGTACAACAAATCTAGAGTTTTTTCATCCTGCAAAACTGGAACTATATCTGTTAACACTTTCCATTTCCCCCTCCCCCTAGTCCTTGGCAATCACCATTCTTCTTTATGTTTCTGAGTTTGGTTACTTTAGATACCTCATATAAGTGGCATCCTGCAGTATTTGTCCTTTTGTGACTGGCCTATTTTACTGAGCATAATATCCTAAAAATACTTCTTTTCTTTTCTTTTTGAAATGGAGTTTTGCTCTTGTTGCCCAGGCTATAGTGCAATGGCACCATCTTGGCTCACTACAACCTCTGCCTTCGGAGTTCAAATGATTCTCCTGCCTCAGCTTCCTAAGTAGCTGGGATTACAGGTGCCTGCCACCATGCCCAGCTTATTTTTGTATTTTTAATAAAGATGAGGTTTCACTATGTTGGCCAGGCTAGTCTCGAACTCCTAACCTCAAGTGATCCACCCGCCTTGGCCTCCCAAAGTACTGGGATTACAGGGGGTCACCACACCCAGGCACTGTTTGAACTTTTTACAAAGAGGATGTATCTATGTATTATTTGTATAATTTTAAATAATTTTTTAAATGAATTAAAAACTTTTTTTGTAGAGATGGGATCTCATCTGGTCTCCAACTCCTGGCCCCAAGTGATTCCCACACCTAGGCCTCCCAAAATGCTGAGATTACGGGTGTGAACCACCACACCCTACCCTAAGATTTTTTTTTTTTTTTAAGAGACAGAAGGGGGAAAAAAAGAGACAGAAGGTGATACCGTAGAGGTCAGCTATCTAAGGTCAACTCTGTAATTCTAAAACTAGTTCTGGTCTCAAACACAGATCTCCAAAAATAAAGATAAGATAAAATAAAGCTGAATTGCCTTTCCCTACTTCAGCCTGTCTTTTTTTTTTTTTTTTTTTTTTTTTGCTTTAGGATGTGGAATCAAACTTCAACCTGTCTTTGCCAGGAAAGTGGTTTGCTGCTTTAAACTGAGACTGCTTCAGGAGACCTTTGTGCCCACTGCCAACTCCTGTCCTGCAGCTACAACACCACTTCTAGGATTTGACTTGTCTTGGAGCCTGAGCTAGGTACCTGGAAGATTTGCACAACGGCCTAGAGATCAAAGTCCTTCAACCATCTGTCAGAATCCCGGGTGGCTTCTATCCCTACGGAAAAGCTGAAAGACTCACAGAATATTTACAAACTGGAAGGGATACTGTAGATCACTTGATACACCTTTGAATAGCCTATAATCCCAGCAATTTGGGAGGCTGAGGCGGGTGGATCATGAGGTCAAGAGATCAAGACCATCCTGGTCAACAAGATGCAACCCCGTCTCTACTAAAAATACAAAAATTAGCTGGGCATGGTGGTGCGTGCCTGTAGTTCCAGCTACTCGGGAGGCTGAGCCAGGAGAATTGCTTGAACCCAGGAGGCAGAGGTTGCAGTGAGCCGAGATCGTGCCATTGCACTCCAGTCTGGGTAACAAAAGCGAAACTCTGTCTAAAAAAAAAAAAAAAAAAAACACAAAAGACATTGGAAATCAAGCCCAGGCAAACTACTTTACTAGACACCTTCACAAAGGATTCACTGAATCACCTTATAACTCAGCAACACACTATATTTAGGAACAGGATATTTTAGCCAGCTGTTAATTACTTTCCTGGCCTCTTTCCTTAGCAGTCTTCCAGTTCTTCACTTCTCCCTAGTTAACTGCATCCCAGGCTCTGGAAGAATTTTACAAAACTCTTTCACTGTTTCCCAAAATAGCCCAGAGAGGGAAATGTAAGTGCTGGGAAACAAAAGCCTTATTTAATTAGGTTAGAGAGGAGAGCAAAAAATACATAGAAGACAAAGAATTTTGAGGCTTCGAGATATGTGCAAATTATAATATGTTTCAAGGTGCTTGGAAGAAAGGTGAGAGGCCAGGCGCAGTGGCTGACACCTGTAATGCTAGCACTTTAGGAGGCTGAGGTGGGTGGATCATGAGGTCAAGAGATCAAGACCATCCTGGCCAACATGCTGAAACCCCATCTCTATTTATTTTTTTTTTTTTGAGACAGAGTTTCGCTGTTGTTACCCAGACTGGAGTGCAATGGCGCGATCTTGGCTGACAACAACCTCCGCCTTCTGGATTCAAGCAATTCTCCTGCCTCAGCCTCCCAAGTAGCTGGGATTACAGGCACGCGCCACCATGCCCAGCTAATTTTTGTATTTTTAGTAGAGACAGGGTTTCACCTTGTTGACCAGGATGGTCTTGATCTCTTGACCTCGTGATCCACCCGCCTCGGCCTCCCAAAGTGCTGGGATTACAGGCGTGAGCCACCTCGTCCGGCCCCCATCTCTATTAAAAAAAAAAATAGAAAGGTGAGATACATTCAAACTATATTATAATATGTTTCAAGGTGACTTTGGGCATGTTGGCTCACACCTGTAATCCCAGCACTTTGGGAGGCCAAGGTAGGAGGACTGCTTGAGCCCAGGAGTTACAGATCATCCTGGGAAATGCAGCAAGAATACCGATTCTACAGAAGAGAAAAAGAAAAATTTAGTGTGCATAGTGGTGCACACTTTTAGTCTCAAGTACTCAGGAGACTGAGATGGGAGGATCCCTTGAGGCCAGAAGGTCAAGGATACAGGGAGCCGTGACTGCACCAGTACACTCCAGTCTGGGCAACAGAATTGAGACCTTGTCTCCAAAAATAAATAAATAAATAAGAATGCAATAAATATGAGGTCTTATTATTTCACATTTCTGTTTTTCTCTGTCATTTTTTTGGTTAGTCAGGAACTTTGATTTACAGTAGTTTTGACTACCTTAGGATTCTCTGTCTTATTCAGAGCTGCCCACTGACAGCCTAACTCTAAATCCAGCCCATTACCATTGCCATGCTTCAAACCACTTTCCTGACAAAGACAGGCTGAAGTAGGGAAAGGCAATTCAGCTTTATTTTATCTTGCTCTAATCCCTCTGATTCCTGGGGCACTCAAACTTTAGTAGGACATTGGTAGCTCTACCCTCAGAAGATGTCCAGAAAGGCATACTGCAAAAAATCCACTGAGAAATTCAGATACCTGCAGCCATAAAAAATAAATAAGATCATGTCCTTTGCAGGGACATGGATGAAGCTGGAAGCCATCATCCTCAGCAAACTAACATAGGAACAGAAAATCAAAC